CATTACCATCCCATTCTATTCGTGATTCCATCATATGAAACACTACCTAACAAGTAAAACTTCTATTAATCTTCAATATTCTTTTTTTTCATTTCACATATAGGCCAAGAAGTTAAAGAATGCACAAGGAGTTAAGTTCATAGAGAAAGATCGAGGAGTGAAAATGATGACAACTCATACCCCTAACTTTTTAGGGTTACCACAAGGAGTTTGGACAACTGAAGGAGGCGATAGCAATGCAGGTGAAGGCATTGTTATTGGTCTTGTCGACACCGGTATTAATCCGTTTCACCCAAGCTTCGCATATGATCCCTGGAACGGGTACCCGAGGAACCGGACCCAGTTCCCGGGGGTCTGTGATGTGGGGCCTCATTTTCCAAAGAGTTCGTGCAATGGGAAGATAGTTTCGGCTAGATTTTTTGCAGCTGGAGCACAAGCGACTGGCAAATTAAATGCCTCAATCGATATCTTGTCCCCCTATGACTCGGTTGGACATGGAAGGTATAATTGAGACTGAGGTGAAAGTATAAGGACTGAATCTGAAAATATTTCATAAGATAATTAAAAATGGTACCTTTTTTTTCAGTCATACGGCATCAACTGCTGCTGGTAACCATGGAGTTCCGGTGGTTGTTAAAGGATCCTACTATGGAAGAGCTAGTGGGATGGCGCCACGTGCACGGTAATGAGTCAAACATTGTACGTTGTGCTACTCTCATTGTACATTTGACTTACTTGTGACACCATTTTGACACAGAATTGCTGTTTATAAGGCTATATATCCGAGTATAGGAACTAAAACAGATGTTATTGCAGCAATGGATCAAGTAAGGTCATCCCGACCCTCACCTCACCCTTGTGTTTCAGCTCACTAAGAAACTGGTAATGGTGCAGGCGATAAAAGATGGAGTTGATATCTTGTCACTTTCAATAGGGCCAGATGAACCTCCAGAGAAAACGATTACTATGTTAAGCATGTTTGATATCTTTATGTTGTTCGCCCACAAAGCTGGAATTTTCGTGGTTCAAGCAGCTGGTAACCGCGGTCCAGGCCCATACTCGACCGTCTCATACAGCCCGTGGGCCGTAGGTGTGGCTTCATGTGACACCGATAGAACCTACCCCAGCTCTCTTGTTCTTGGAAATGGCCAAAGATTCAATGGCATCGGATTATCAGGTATACTTACATAAATGGTCAATGGTTCAAGTTTCTATCATTTACATGTTTCCCTTCCAATGTGGATAAGGATCCTTGTGGGCTCTAGGCTACCAGTGTACGACAGGAGCATGTTTCAAGATTGTTGGAAAAATAACTCTTTTTTATAAACAAATTGTACCCAAAACCAGGCTCATTTTATCTTTGTTTAGTAACCCTTCTATTGTGATTTATAGGACCAAGCTTTGGAGCAGGGTTGCTAAAATATAAGTTGGTGTTGGCAAAAGATGCAGTCGTGGCAAATGGAAATTTTCCGAGGACCCCACAATACATAGACGAGTGCCAACATCCTGAGGCATTTGATCCCGTAATCGTACGACAAAGTGTTGTTATATGCATGTTTTCAGCGGGGTTTAGTAACGGAACTTCAAGTCTAAAAGACATTACCAACACCGGGAGCGCCCTAGGGTTTATAGGTTTCGTGTTTGCTGCTAATCCTAGTTATGGTGATTTTATAGCTGAGCCATATCCATTCTCTATTCCTGGAATTGTGATTCCAAAAGCTAATGATACACAGGTATAAATGGCAACATACTTTCATTGATTTGGTTGTTACAAAATCCTATTTTTATTTCTTCATATAACAACATTGTATTTTGAAAACAATATAATCATCGTCATTCAGTTTCTAGGTATATTTGAGTTTAAGTACCTTTTCGGAAATACACTGTCTCAATAAGAAACAAATGACAACATTAATACATTATGCAATAGAAAGAACTAAAAGTAAGATGCTATAATACACAAATAAATGAAAACACCTTGTTATTCTTGCAGATGATAATGGATTACTACGAGAAGAAAACCGAAAGAAATAATAAAGGAGTTGCAATAGCTTATCATGGAAGAGCAGCTATAGGAGAAGGTAGAGTTGCCGAGTACAACACAAAAGCTCCAATTGTGAGCAGATCTTCTTCGAGAGGACCTAATTTTATCGACATAAAACGGAACCCGATAGATTTGTTGAAGCCCGATATTTTAGCTCCTGGGCACTCGATTTGGGCAGCTTGGAGCCCAATGAGCGTGAAAACTCCAATTCTCGAGGGTTGTAACTTTGGATTGATATCTGGTACAAGTATGGCCACACCTCATATTGCTGGTGTGGCAGCACTGATCAAGCAGCGACATCCTTCATGGTCACCATCAATGATTGCTTCCGCCATGGCAACAACCGCCACTTCATATGATAACCGAGGGGAACCGATAATGGCCCAAGGTCGAGATATGTATAAATTACATCGTTCTACACCTTTTGATCATGGCGCGGGTCTTGTTAGTGCCACCAATGCTCTTGATCCAGGGCTCGTTTTTACATCAGGTAATGTCAATTTTTTTTATCCCGACTTGTATGTATCATAGGTGCATGTACCAAATTATTGTCTGTCTTAAATCATCTCCAATCTACTTCCATTTTTTCCGTAAAAAATAGAATAAAAGATAGGATAAATAGTGTTTCATATCGAACCCTACTCCATTTTTTATCTCATTTTTACCCCCAAAAAAATATATTCCTAGTATATTCTATTTTTCCAACTTACATAGATTGTCAAACACACCCCTTCTAATTTGGTTTTAACAAATATATAATATATATATTTTTTCATTACAATAATATTAAATAAGTAAGATTATATTTATAACACTTAATTATAAGTTATTTTAGAATACGTTATCGTGTTTTAAAATTTCAATATGTATTTAAATTTTTATATGAATTTGATAAACATAAAAAACTTTATATTTATAATTAATTAATATATAACAAAATATTATAAGTATTAAATATTATATTTAAATTATACTTAGTAGATAGAAATAAACTATAAATGTATTATATAAAAAAATAGACTAAAACCGACTACTCAAAGTTCATCTCCGTTTTGGAGGAATTTAATAGTATAACACCATATTTGGTGTTATACTTTTCATTTCTTAAAAAATAGGAGAATAAATAAGGTAGAGTTGGAGAAAAATGGGGAAAAATAGAAGTTGTTTGGAGATGCTCTTATACTATCTCTAATTCATTTCTATTTTTTCCCCATAAATTAAGTAAAAAATAGGGTAAATAGTATTACATTTCCAACAATACTCCACTTTATACCCTATTTTTTATCCTTAAAAATATATTCCTACAATATTTTATTTTTGTAACTTATATATACTCTCAAATACACCCACTAATTGGTTTTTAACAAATATATATTATACTTTTTATATATAATAATATTACAAATTATATTATCATAAAAAAATATTTATATATAATAAATTTAAATTAATTATTAATTAATTATAGATAATTATTAAATAAACAAAAATATATTTATAATAAATATATCAAGATGACGGTCATAATCAGTTACTATACTTTATAAATTAGTATATATATTTAATTTTTTATATGAATTTGATAAATAAATATTAAAGTCTATATTTATGATTAATTAATATAAATTAGTATATAACATAATATTACAAATATTAAATATTATATTTAAATTATAATTAGAGGATAAAAATAAACTAAAAATGTGAAAAATAAAAAAGAGAATGACTAAAATCGGCAACAAAAACTTCAACTCAATTTTTGGAGATATGAATAGTCTTCCCTCAAATATGCGGAATACTATTTATATCTCCAAAAATGGATATAGAAATGGGGTAGAATTGGAGAAGAAATGAATGAATAAATGGAGTTTAGGGGTGGGTTGGAGATGACATCTGACAACCTAGCAAGATGCTTTTTAGGGGTCACACATCCTAATATTGCTATTGTCTGACGCTTAGCCATAGAGTTTTGATTAGATTCGGGGTGAATAGCAGAACAGGGTACCCACTTTGGAACCGGAACCGTCTTAAACGGTTCGGATCTCATTTTTTCCGGAACCGCTACATGTTGTGTTTATATATATATATATATATATATATATATATATATATATATATATATATATATATATATATATATATATATATATATATATATATATATATATATATATATATACTTACCAAGTCAAAATAACAATGTTACATTTTGATACTTTGGACCGGTATGATGGTTATATAAGTGAAAGTAAAATCATATGATAAAACATGGGTTTTGTCTAGTAACACACTAGCAACACTGTTGCATCGTTAATCTTGCTTAACTTTGAAAACATGATAATAAATAATCAAAATATATATGACGTTTCTTATTTTTATTTATAACTTCGTAAATAGAGGCATATTTTTTAAACATAAAATTAGCCTCCAGCTGTTACTTTTTTTCGTGAAATGGGTTTTCCATAAGTTATGTTTATATATGTTTTTAATAGTTAATGGTTTGTAATGGTGGTTTTCTAACGAAAAAATAGTAAAACGGATTAAAACAACCAGGTAGGTATCTGGTGTCGGAATCGGTTTTGGAGGTTCCAGTTGCGGTTCCAAAATATAAAGAACTGTTAAAACCGGTTCCAGTTACTACATTCCAAGACCCATTGATTTCGGTTTCGGTTCCAACTCTACGCAATAAGGACGGGTACCTGCCTATGTTCACCCTAGATGAGATGAAAATTAGTGCTTAAATCATCACATTAGGTGTAGGACGAACGAAATACTCCTTACAGGGACAACCTCATAACAATATGGTTAAGCATTCATGAATGAAAGCAGTATCAGGATGGGTGACCCATAGCCATTCCAAAGCATACGGAACCTTCGCACTTATAGCTGATGATGTTACAATGCATTTTATGAATTCATGTACTAACCTAATTATCAATCAGGGTTTGATGACTATATGAGTTTCTTGTGCTCGATTCCAAACACTGATCCAGATTTCATCAAAACCACAATCGGTGAACCATGCTTACACTCCTTTCGTTCACCATCAGATCTGAACGTCCCTTCAGTCACAATTTCATCACTCAAGGGATCACAACTAGTTAGAAGAATAGTCAAGAATGTTGCCAACGAGGTAGAGACATATGTTTATGCGGTGGTGCCGCCCCATGGAGTGGCAATCGAATTAAATCCACCATGGTTCACCATAGTTCCACAAGGCACCCAAGATTTGGAAGTAAAACTCATCGTTACACAACCAAATGATTCATTTAGCCATGGTGAAATTATTTTAACAGGAAGCTCGAAACACATAGTAAGAATACCCATTTCGGTACTACCTATCTCAATGTAAAACAATCAATCTTGATTATGTAAGAATAAAGGTGTTTGTTATCTTTATATAAAACATTACTATTATATTCTATGTCAATGATTAGAATCTAGTTCATCATATAACATACATATGGTGAAAGATTAATGTAATAAATGAATGTGAGAGAAAAAAAATGATTACAACAATTATCGAGGACGAATATGTAAAGTAGCTGCTTGTGTATTGCTGTAACATCTAATTTTGAAGCAATTCCATTGTTAATCCTTATATTGAGATGCATTTCATTTTTGGTCCTTAAGTTATGAAAGAATGCAAAAGGGGGCCCTTAGTGGCATTTTGGTAAAAGTTTAGAAGGGACGCGTGATGAGTTTTATACAAACAATCATATGTGTGCACGCAACCCAAGATTGGATCTATGTTTTCTCTATTAGACATACAAGCATCAAACACAAAAGGAAAACCCTAATATGCATCTCATAATTAAAAATCTACATATGAAAGATTAGATCACATACCTTTTTTTGCTATATAGTAATAACAACCAAAACTTGAAGATCCTTGCTTTTGAGAACAAGTATCACAAGTGTAGTATCTCTAATGGCTCACCAACACACTACGGCAAGATGATGAATCTGAGAGAGAGGAGAGAGGAGTAACTTGCTCATAAATTCGGCTATTTTAGGGTTTCAAGAGGGTGCACGAATTCAACAGGCCAAGGGGTCTATTTATACTTGAGGCTAGCTAGGGTTTTGAGGCAGGAACCCTAATTCCTTAGCTTAGGGTCTAGGCAAGTCCATGGACTCCCTTACCTTAGGCCTTGGAAGAAAATCTCTAGAACCTTCTAGGATTTTCAGCCCTCCCCAATAAGGGTGATCCAATGGCTTAAAATCTCAACTATCAAATATTTACAAAACAACCCCTACACTTTCAATCCGTTCCTTTAATCCTAAAATTAATTCCAAAAATTATTTATGAGTAAATACTAATTAATAATAAGATTTCTAATTAATATATTATTCTTATAATATATTAATAAATCATTTTCTATGCACCAATTTATTATTCCAAATAATAAAATCAGCCCCTCTCTCCAATAGTTATCTTGTTTAGTTGACAGTGTGAAGGCAACCCAAAAGGACAATGCTACTATCAAATCAAGTACATACCAATTATAGTTATGGGCTTAGATACCTAATCCAACAACGAGTATGTCGTGCGTACGTGTGTGTATGCTAAGCGTACTAAGGCGCGCCTTAGTACGCAGGAAGCATGGAAACCCTAATTCTAGGGCTTTGGTTCATATTTAATCATCTTTATGGACATAAACCCTATTCTTATCCATCCTATTTCATAGATTTCGACCCTCAAGAAACCCTAGAGCAAAAGGAAACCATTTTTTGTGAGCCTTAAGAGAGTTTGGTGTGGTTTTGAAGAAAGAAGAAGTTAGTGTGAAGACCTTAGAGTGGAGTGCATTGTAACAGGAGAGTTTAGTGCCGCGGTAATAGGAGCATATCGGTCATCAAACGTCTCAATCCAAGTGGTCTTAATAGACCCAGACATCTTCGGGATGACCTCTCGGATAGCTGCGACCACCTCGTTGTGAATCATCCTGCGAATCTCATCATCACTAAATCCACTACTCTCCGGGTTGTGGTGCGTACCCCCCATGATGTCTCTGAAACAAAACACAAAGTATTTAGATCAAGAATACTCACACTCGATCACTCGCCCCTACTTGTTCCTTAGCACCCTAAGGATTCTTACTTGGATTGCGCACCGATCCGGTGTTTCCAATAGTACGGGCCCAATACACTGCATTTGTGTCCATTCCAAGTCTTCCTGCTAGGATCCTAGTTCACAAGTACTCTATATCTCGCCAAACACATACTACTCTCTTAGTAGACCTCTCATAAGCTCCTCTCTGCTACATACTCGTACTCGAAGCAAATCACTGGTAGCAATAACCCCTAGGCTAAGGCATCACAAATCAGGCCACTCTAGTCCTAAATTATGAAAGACCTAGCCTACTCTCTAGCATGCATAATATATCTCATAATATCTCATAACACAGAAAGTACAGGTATTTTGGGAAATCACTGTTCAGGCTCTAGTTGATTGTACACACTGCTTTTTCTTGTTTTTCTTTTAGAAACTCTTACTCGTTTTAGAAAAATTGTTTCTCTTGAAATTTTTTCTCAAATCCTCAGTTTGAGTCCGGACATTCCCGAAGATGCATACCAACTTGTAATGATGTAAAATTTTCAAAACAAATTTTTTTTTTTTCATTTTTCAAACATGGTAAATTACATATCAGATTTCTCGAAAACTTCAAGTATCAATGTCAAAACATAATTTCAAAATATTTTATCACAAATCCAAGATCCAAAAATAAATATAACTCCAGCTCAGGTGTGTGTGTACAATCAAGTCGGTGTCTTCCCGCAATCCTCGGAAATACCTGAAACGCATAACACATAACATGGTAAGCACGATGCTTAGTGAGTTCCCCAAAATATCATGCACATATAATTAACCACGCGAGGCTATAGCTCTGTAAGACCCTCCGGTCAATGTGTCTCAGTGGGACCTTCCAGTCCCACAGCTCGTTGGACCCTCTGGTCCGGTCTAAGTGAGGACCCTCCGGTCTCACTGCTCGTTGGACCCTCCGGTCCGATCTAAGTATCTCATAATATAGCACACAGTACCTATCTAAAAATAGTGGAATTTCGAAAATTCCAAATACACCAAAACGATGTCAAAGTAATTGCAATTGGTTAGTTGTTTTAATTTTTTTCACCCATTTTGAATTTCATCAATAAATTTTTTTTCCTGTAAAAAATTCAGAAAAAAAATTAAAGTTTTAAAAATTTAATTTTGTACAAAATAAACACAATCATAATTTTTTTTATATTCATAAAAAAAACCTGATTTTTTTTCGAAAGTCATGAAAATTGAAGGGATACTTCTACTTCACTATAATAGTGACTTTGTAAAAAGTTTTTTTTTTTTTTAAAACTAAGTTTTTGAAATGTTTATATTTTAATTTAAACAAATATTTGTTTTTATAAAACATAATGTAATTTTTTATCCAAATTCAAAAAAGCAAATGATAGAGTTCTTCGTAATAGTATTTTAGTGAGTTTGTAAAGGAAATTTTTCAAAAATATTGTTAATGATACGAACGTTTTGTTTAAATAAATTTAACTTTTTATAAAAAAATAAGACGAAGAAACTTCTTTATCCAAATTAAAAATCCTTTTAAAATGTATATTATATATCATATATTATGAACATTTTGAAAAGAAATTTTAAAAAAGTAATGTGTTTTAGATACCAAACTTTATTTTAAAAGATTACGACTTTTTTAAAAAAATGTTATAATATGATTCAAAATATTTATGATTTAACATGTTTAAGATCTTTAATTTATTATTATCTAAAAATATTATGATTTAAAAACTTTATGATCCTTAATTACTATATATTTTAGTGAGTTTGTAAAGGAAATTTTTCAAAAATATTGTTAATGATACGAACGTTTTGTTTAAATAATTTTAACTTTTTATAAAAAAATAAGACGAAGAAATTTCTTTATCCAAATTAAAAATCCTTTTAAAATGTATATTATATATCATATATTATGAACATTTTGAAAAGAAATTTTAATAAAAGTAATGTGTTTTAGATACCAAACTTTATTTTAAAAGATTACAACTTTTTAAAAAAAAATGTTATAATATGATTCAAAATATTTATGATTTAACATGTTTAAGATCTTTAATTTATTATTATCTAAAAATATTATGACTTAAATACTTTATGATCCTTAATTACTATATATTTTATGATTCAAAATGATCCAAATATATTATTAAAAAAAACTTTATTTAATTTATATATTATGATCCAAAATTATATGATTCAGAAATGATATAATTTAAATTATTTTGATCTAAAATAATATAATCCAAAAATATATAATGCACAATAGTGTTATGATTCGAAACTTTTTATAAATATTAAACATCAAAAAACTTTAAACGATATTTAATTTAAAAATATAAAAAGGTGAAAAAAAATAATAAAAAAATAAAATAACAAAATATAAATATAAAAACTTAAAAAATCGAGTATATATTAATCTAAAAAAGTTTTTTGGAATAATAAAAAAAACTATAAAAAAAAACAAGTACATCATTATCTGAAAAAGTTTTTTTAATAAATAAAAGTTAAGAAAAAAAACTATTTAAGTGTCGTTCGCCACACATGATTATTTCATCGAGACTGTATTACGTTCCTTGACGAAATGTGTAGTAGAGAATTATACTCGTGATTCCTACCGAATATATATATATATATATATATATATATATATATATATATATATATATATATATATATATATATAGAGAGAGAGAGAGAGAGAGAAAGAGAAAGAGGTAGGTTCAAATATTTTATCTAAGTATTGTATGGATATCGGAATCATTATGGACCAATCATTTCAAAACTCTAAATATGGGCAAAAGTATAATCTTGCTTATTAATTAATTTTGGTAATTAAATAAATATTTAATTAATCCATAGAATTTTGGATTACTTTCCCTTTATACCTTAAATTTAAATAACCATGTTGTCTTCAATCTCCACCCTATCAAAATATCTTATTGAAGGTCGTGCAACCCTCCGACTATCGAAGAAAATAGGAACGTAGGAGCTGGCCCCTTCACCGACGATGATGGTGTTGCATCTAAAGAGGAAAACCTCCACTTCTTTATTGTGTGTGTGATCGGACCATCACATCCTTTATTCTGTCATCTGCTTCCATCAATCTAAACCATTGCAATCAACCTTCAGCTTCCCGGTTTTCGTTTCAATTATCATGTTGATGAATGTTTGATTATAGTTAGTTTCAACAAGAATCTTGAAGATAAATGGGTTCTGTATAGATCTACGATTGAATGTTTTTCTTGTTTTGGTGAGGTTCCAAAACGTTGTTCTTGTTTCTGGGAGGTTCCCTC